GCAGCCTGGGGGCGGCCGTGGGGTCCGGACACGGGGACGCCCACTCTACAAAACCCGGCGGCGAGGGCTCCTCCTCGCACGTGCGCTCAGAAGAAAAGGTCCAGACGCGCACGTCTTCCAAAGTCAGGCCTTCCTCCTGCGACTCCGAGACGTTTTCAGGGAAATTCCAGCCTTTCGGCTCTGGCATAGGATGGAAGCGCTCCTTTGCTGGCGAGGAGTGCGCTTTCAAATGGGCCCAGGGGAGGCTCTGGAATGAGCGTCATCATGAGGTCCCCATCCGGCGCCCTGGGCCCACCCTGGGCGGCTCCGCAGGCCCTGGCCAGTGTGGCCTCGAATGCCCTTGCAGTTTCCCTCCCGGCTCCCTGGGCAGCTGCCAGCTGCCCTGGATTGTGGTGCAGAAGGAGCTCTGAATTCAGCTTCCCGTGCGCACAGCCGGGGTCCTTGGCGCAGGCCTCCTGGACAGAAGGCCAGGCTGGCCCCCGCCCCGGGTCTTCTGTGAATCACCTTTTCACTGCACGGCTCGCCTCCAAGAACCCCTCGGAAGCAGCAGCCAGTGCGGCCCTCCCTCCGAGCCTTTCTGTTCTTTCTGCTTGAACTAAATTGCATTAAAGAAAAGAAAACATCGTCATGGGGGAGTTAATTCATCTCTAACATAATTTTCCAGCAACTGTTTCATATTTACAAAATGGCCCATGGAGTGGAAGGATCCTGCTGTCACTCATCAAAGTGGACAGTTTTCACCTTTTTGTTGGAGGCTGTGGGATGAGTCCAAAGAACTCAGTCTCCTGATATCTCGGGAATTACACTGCCCAGCTTCTGAAACCACTGCGCACACTTCTGCGTGCAGATAAAATGTCTGGCGGCTTATGTGACCAACAGGCAACTGAAAATGGGTCTGAGCATCAGGAGATGTAGGTTTGAGGTTTGGCTTCCGGCTCTGATTCCCGTCAGATTGGTAGTCTTGGAGATAACACTGTACTTACTGAGAAAAACGATAGCATACATGGAACTTGTGGCCACTGGAAAGAACGCTCTAACCAACTGAACTAACTACCCAGCCAGGCCAGAACTTGATGATGTGATATGTGGAGCTTTGACACTATGGATTATAAATGCTTTTAAATGTCAATTCCTAATTCTTTAGGTTTCTTAGGATGTGATCCATTGGTGCTTCTCTCGGAGTTTGAATCTGAAAATTGCTTAATTTCCATCAGAATAGAGCACAGCCCAGTTATGTGTAGACAGAATATTATATTATCCCCGCAGCTCACCCCGAGCTTCCATTTCGACAAAGCCTGCAAAAATGTTGGGAGAATAGGGCTTTCAGTGTCATGTCTGCACTTGAGTGGAGAAACTGGGAGACTTCAAAGCCTTCGCTACTCAGATGAGTTAATATCTAATGGAAAAGTTGCCTCGTCGACTCACACGAAGGTTGCCCTCACATACAGGAACATCAAGAATCCTAGTTATCCACCAAGACAGGCACTCGCTTTATAGCCAGCTTATGGGTGGTTGACTCAGATGTTGAAAGCTTTATAAGTACATGTTTAAGGAAAACAACTCATGCAGGAGACATCACCCCAAGATAACAAGTGTTAAATAAATCCTGGTTACAGCCTGGCCTGTGTGGCTTAGTGGTTGATCATGGACCTATGAGCCAGGAGGTCAAAGTTCGATTCCTGGTCAGGGCACATGCCTGGGTTGCAGGCTCGATCCCCAGCGTGGGGTGTGCAGGAAGCAGCTAATCCATGATTCTCTCCCATCATTGATGTTTCTATCTCTCTCTCCTTCTCATTTTCTCTCTGACATCAATATATATTTATTTATTTATTTTTTTTTTTTAAGAAAAAGAAAACAGCCTGCTGAGGTCAGTTTCTTCCTGGTTGGCTGGGAAGAGGCTGCCCCCGCTGCTTCTAGACCCTGCACAGACCAGCTCCCATCGCCTCGGATGCTGGTCAAATGCACAGACCGCAGTGGCTGTTAGCAGATGGGAACCTTGACTAATCCCTCACATCTGCTCGGGGCTCTGGCCTAGCCCGGGAAGGCGCACACAGCAGCCGGCTCATGGCCGGCTCGCGGTCATGAAAGGAAAGCAATGTTTCCTGAAATCTAATTTCATCTCGGACAGAACACATCTCATGGAATAGGGATGATCTTGTGCAGATCAGCCCTCTCCACTCGGCCGGGTCCAAGTGTCAAGTCACATACGCATTAAATTTTCAAAAGTCCAGACGTGGCGTCCTTCCCAGCGTCCCGTCTCCCTGCCCTGTCGTTCGATGCCCCCCGCCCACCCCCCTGCAATCCACACAACTGACATCAGGCCTCTGGCCTCACGTGACCAAGGGCAACTTCATTCCTTTTAGATTGATTAGTACCTCTGACGGCTTTTGCAAGAACAAAAGCGGTCAAATTCCTCATTAGTGGTAAACTTGGAAAAAATGATTTGGCCACCATGTCAAGCTGTTTGCCTTCAGAAGGGAAGCAATATATCCACTCGAAGCAGCATCCGTCTTAAGAGTTACTCCATACAAGGTCTTCTGTAGTCATCAGAAGCTGGGTTGTTTTTACCTAGTTCTTCACCTTTATAGTATGTCCCTGACTTGCTAGAAACAAACATCTTTCCCTTTGTGCCACTGAGAAACATCCCCTTCCGAAGCTGGCCTGGACCTGCAGCGAGCAGCTTAAAGTCGTCAGGAAAATCCCTCACGGGGGCAGAGTGCCCTCTCGGACGGACAATTAAAAAGAAAAAGGGTGAAAGTGATCACAGAACATCTGTCTGTGATCACAGCCTCTGAGCAGAGTGCTCCCAGCCAGCCAGCGGCCGGGTGACAGCACAGCACCCATCACGGAGCTGTGTGACCCAGAGGCCCACTGTGTCCAATAAACGTGGCTGCGACTCGCTGGGGTGGTGAGAGCCAGCCATGTGGTCGGCTCAGCTGTTACCTTTGTAAGAGGCTGTGTAGCCCCCAGTAAGGCCCGTCCTCTCGGACAGACAATTAAAAAGAAAAAGGGTGAAAGTGATCAACAGGAGGCCACAGAACATCTGTCTGTGATCACAGCCTCTGAGCAGAGTGCTCCCAGCCAGCCAGCCGCCGGGTGACAGCACAGCACCCATCACGGAGCTGTGTGACCCAGAGGTCCACTGTGTCCAATAAACGTGGCTGCAACTCGCTGGGGTGGTGAGAGCCAGCCATGCGGTCGGGTCAGCTGTTACCTTTGTAAGAGGCTGTGTAGCCCCCAGTAAGGCCATTAGGCCCCAGGCCTGACGCATCTCAGCCCGCACACCTCTGGTAACGATGATGCAGGCACTGCCCTGCCTTGACTGTGTGACCTTGGGCAAGTGGCCTCACCTTTCTGTGCCCTGGTGTCAGCAAAAGGGGGAGGGGGCGCCTGGACCTCCACCCTCCTCGAGTAGAAAGGCAGCGTCCCAGTGCCCCGCTCCCCGGAGCTGTCAGCGATTGGAG